TAAAAAAATTAAAATTTGGAACATTAATAATAATTTTTTGTTATACATAAAATATTATTAATGAATGATGAATTTATATCATATTATATATAAATCAAAATTTAACTCCTATACCTTTATAATAAATTGGAGAAAAGCTATAAAGTGAATTAATTTTTAAAAACAAAACGAAAATTAAAAAAAAAAAATTGTCATATACCTAGAATCTAAAACTGACGAATACTGAATTTTACGCCTCATGTGTGTATGCGTGTGTTTAATTATGGCAAAGCACACTATGGCTATCTGCCTAAGGGATGGATGCTTTCGTGGAGGACTTTCTAAGGGAAACTGGCTTGTATACACGTTACACATGGGGAAAACCACGAAAACACCCATGTAGCCGGATCGTTCGCGGGATTTGAACCTCGGACCGAACTACCAGTGTTCAGCGACTTTACCGCTCGGCCGCTGGTGGGCCGTTTTACGACTCATATAATAATAAATGCATATTCATATTGTAACAGAAATTTTGTTAGAAGTCTAGCATATGTATAGTTATTTGTGATCTTTTAAAACTGTCGTAACATGATGCATATTTATCATTATTGTGAACCAAAACAGTATGCTTTACATCTTTACAAATATACGTGATAGATTTTAATATTTATTTCTGCATATACTTACGTTTCCCAAAGACACGAAAGCAAGTCAAGCAGATTAAGCAGACTTAAGTTCTCTGTTAGCTAGTGTAACATAATTTCGGATTCTATGAGCCTTCCAGAATTATTAGCAAAATAGTGGAAATGTCTTTACAAAGTGTTTTTATAAGCAAACAGCAGATGTACACTGAGCAGTGATCAACTGATATATTTCTTAAATGATTTGGTTTAGTTGATTATGACAAAACACACTGGGGCTATGTGCCTAAGAGGAAAAATGCCTTCGTAGAGCACTTTCTTAGGAAAGCTGTCTCGTATGGTACGTGGTATGCTGGCTCGTATGGTACGTGGTAAGCTGGCTCGTATGGTACGTGGTAAGCTGGCTTGTAAGCTGGTACGGAAAAAAAAACCACAAAACGCTTATGAAGCCAGCCCGTTTGCCTGAGATCGAACTCAGGTCGGAACTACCAGTGTTCAGCGATTTTACCGCTCGACCGCTGATGAGCCATTTCTTAAATGAATAAAGGTATACTCATAGCATTATGAAATAACATTGATTGAAATATTTAGTGCTTCACTATTATCTCTAATAAAGTAACATAAAAATGTCCTTACCTTTTATAGATTTCTAAATTTCTTTTAAGTTCTTTCTTAATTCGTACTTAACCTATGCATGTGCGAATGTTTTTATCGATTATATTGTTAAGTGTAAAAAGCAAGTTGACATTTATAACATAGCATTCCTTGTCTCAACAAATAACAGTCTCAACTAGGAGTTTTTGGAAAGGGGATGAATCGGGGAAATTTCACCCTTTCGCCATTAGCGGTTCTGATGAAGGGAATGGGGGAAGCAGCAAACGAAATAACGAATAACGGACAAATAACGAAAGCTAATCTTTAATGCGGTCTCCCAGTTTCTGTATTTTTATTTGGGAAAGTTTTATGGTCATTATGAAAAAGTGAAAATTTGATATGGATTCCGCATGACTTCCTTCTACGACTATTTAAATTATGCTTATTTTTGCTGCACTTCATTTAAACTTATTTCCTCGAATTATTCTAACTCAATTAAGCGATACCCGAAGGCAAGTTACAAATGGCACCAAACATTGCAAATTTTGAAACTAAATTTCCCGGTCAATCTTTGTCCTACGGGACTCAAACTTCTTGTATTTTTATTTTTTCATAACAAGTATAAAACTTTGCCAGATATAAATATAGAAACCTAGAAGACGACATTAAAAGTTAGATTTCATAATTTGTCCAAAATTAATTCTTTTTTAAATTTGATATTGACAAAATATGAATATTTTCGTCATTTAAAATACTTCTGTATTTTTGTTGCACCGTATTTAAACTTGCTTCCTCGAGTTATTGACATTAAATTACATTAATTCCATTATCTATTGGAAAATAATTATCATCTATTTACAACATCTCTGAAAGGTCACCTTTTAAGAGATCTCTATTTTGGGGAACATAAACAAACATTGGTAGTGAACATCATCTTTTTAAGACCACCACATGTAAAATCCTCTAAAAGCATGAATGGTTGCATTTAATGAAGACCCATTACTTTTAATAAGGAATGTAACATTAATCTTAATTATACATGTTTTTGATGTGTGTGCCAAAATAGTGATAACCGTACTTCCGTTGCTTTAGAAATGTGTGAAATTAAAAAAATGGATACTATACAACAAAAATGTTATTATATTCAGATACACACCTTTTGAACACGTCTGAAATTCATTATTCTGCTCAACATAATTTGTCTGCATAAAATATTAAATATTATTAAAAAATCAAAAGCTAAGTCGAAGTAGAAACAGTCATCTCCAAGGATAAATAAGTCCTGAAGTCTTCTAAGTCCTGAGTCATCTCTTCTAAACCATTTTAATTGAAGTAAACAGACGTTCGCCTTATCGTAAAGTAAACACTTATTTTTCAAACAGCGGATGAAACGGGAAAGAGGGAATTGGTGGGGGAAGGCAGCGAACGAAATAACACTTTTTCGAGCTGGGGATGAAATGAGAAAGGACGAAACGATACTAAGCCAATAAGACAAGATCTGGTATTTTACTTTATTATTTAATTAATCATCATAAACTTAAAAATTATTTTAATTTTTATTTGTTTTTACATTTTTATTAAATTTTACTTATAAGTATTTTATACTTCAGTTGCTAATTATTATGTTACTTTAATTATTCATTATTTAATCACTATTTTTTATTATTTTAATTATTAAGTTTTTTAATAAGTAATTTTTTGTTATTTTAATTATTAATTAATGTTATTATTGTAATATTTATTTCCTTTCTTTCTTTATATTTTCCTATTTTTTCCTGACGGCCTTCCGTAGGCGCTTCTGACTTTAGAAACTAAGCCCTGACAGCAATAGAAAATTTAATAATGAATCATATCCAGTGCACCAAAAAATAATAGCCAAAATAAAGTGAATTATTTCTACTCAAAAATGCGACGCAAAACTCCCTATCGCAGCACTACCCAGTTCCCGCGGGGTAGAAAAGCTCACGTGATTCAATGCGATGCGACGTTTCAAGGCCCTTTTTAGGGCCGTAGACCGATAAAATAGGCTCAGGATACGGATACCGATGGATTTTACCGAAAGTAACGAGTAACGATACGATAGTAACGAGTACTGGTTCACCGAGTAACGAATACATACGGGTACACAATTTCTCGTTACTTCTACAGCACTAACACACACACACACACACACACACAAAAAAAAAAAAAAGCTTCAAGAACATTAATCTAGTAAAAATTATTAACAGCGGAATAACACTTATTTAGTAAAAAAAAATTCAAAAATGGCTTAATGCCTTAAAAATGCTACACTAAAAACTGGCATTTTATTTTAAGAAACTTATCTGTTTTTTTTTTTGACGCAAATATTGTCTCATCCTTTTATAAATTAAAGACCTTTTCCAAAGTCATAAATAAATTTTATCATAATATGCTTCATATTTTTAGACTTTTTGCATTTTTTAAAATTTTGAGTAGTATTTAGTGAATAAAGTTGGCAATCCAATTAACTGTTGCTGTTTGAAAATTTTGTGGAAGTATGATCGTAAATATTAAATCGGTTACTGTGTTTAAAGAAATTTAAAACATATTGTATATATTGAATTTAATTATTTGGACTGCTTAAGTTTTGTCTTTTGCTGGGAATTAAAGGTAATTTTTTTTTTAATTTCAGTTTTGAAGCGTGTTTATATGCATATAATGTGTAAAGATTTTAATATAATTCTACGTTTGCTTTCTTATTAATGTTGTTTAAAATTTGTAGTTTTTTATGTGTTTTTTGAATTTCTAGAAAAGAAGAATTAGATGAAGAAATATTTTCATTGTGTTTTTGTTTTCTACCCCCCCCTTTTTTTCCCTTGTTGACTTTTATGACTTCTCAAAACATTTTTCTTAGTATTCCTTTTCCTGTTATTTAATGAAAACGTAAATGTCACATGAATACAGAAATTTTAATCCAAAGCCTCTGCTACCAGTAATGTAATTTTTTTTCAAAACTTCTTGAAAAAGTGAATTAAATCACATTTTGGTTATTTCAAATTATCAAAACCCCAGTGTTAAATTTTGTGCCTCATATTTTTTTCATTGTATATTCTAATACAAAACTTAACTTTTATAATAAATGCAAGAAAAATTAGGCAGCTTGATATATGAGTTTCTGTCAAATTTTTAATTTTATAGCATCTGTTTCAATCTGTGCAAACTATAGTTCCTCTTTCCTCTGTTTTGTGTTTTTCATGTTGCCCAGAGTAGATAGTGGTTAGTGTTGCTACTGACGTACCGAAATGTCCAGGGTCGAATCCTGGAGAAGGCATGGATGTTTGTAAACGTATAGTGTCAGAGCAGCAAGAGTGAACTCAAAATGCATGTGAGCTGAAAATTCTTTTGACTAAAGTGCAGAATCGGCCACTTATTTGATTGGCGTTTGTTTGGTGCTTTTTACAAGAGTAAGAAGAATTGGATTTTTCTCAATTTCCTTTGACTTTTTAAGTGAAAATAAGTCGATGTGTACATGGATATCGAGTATGTGCAATTCTTAAAAATGTGCCAAGAAGTGGGTGATTCTGCACTTTCCCCATTCTTTCGACAAGTTGCTGTAGGGAAAGAGGGGTGGGAGGTCCTTGGACCAAGCTTTGGGGTGTTCTCCCTCAAAATTGGGACGGGAACTTAATAGTTAGCTATGCTCAGCAGTATCTCAATCAACTGCTGTATTTATGGAGGTGCTGGCCTGGCTTGTACCTGTACCTGATGCTGTGTGATATGCAAATCTGTAAATGCATTACTTGGAACAAATGTGCTAGACATGCTGCATTGAGAAAGTTATTGCTGACAATTTTCAGTTTCTCATTAACTATTTTTTTTTTTTTTTTTAATTTTTATTTTAATGTGTTTATACATATTTGGAGCATAAAAAGTGTGCAATAGTTTGTTAGTGACTAACAGAGTTTTTCTTATCAATTTTTAGTTTCTACTAATTGCTCATTATGACAATTATGTTAATGATTTTTAACACATTATTATTGTCTAATACATTTATTTCATGTGAAAATAAGTCACATTATTAAAATTTGTTCACAATCATATAAAATTTCATTTGAAAACCAATAATGTTCTAAATTTGATCTAAATTTAATATACTTACTTTTATTGCATTTAAGAATATCTCATAATCAGGCTGTATTGGCTGACTTGAATAATTGTTATTTGATGTAGATACTGTTGCTTTTTTCATCCTCTTTTTGCCGAAATTCATTTCTCCCACTGGCATAAACTGTGGGAATAATGGCTTTTTTTAAAATTTAAACCATGAAACTTTTAGCATTTTTTATAATAAAAAAATAATGCCAAATGATCTCAATTTATGCTAATATATTTATGACTCGAAAGCTCTCGGGTGTACTTGATAAAATATAAGTTATCAGATAACTTTAATATTTATCACAATAAAACAGAAGTTATCAGGGAATAATTATTCATTTTTAAAAATATCAACTTACTCGTTTTTCTGTATTATTCCATAAACATAAAACACAAGTACTGGAAGGGTTATTTAATCCTTCCTTAATTACAGCTTCTACACTTAATAAAAGAGCAGATACATATGAGCAGAGTTCACCCAATCTATAATTAGAGAGAGGGAGAATAACTTATTATTATGAATAAAAATTTAATGTGATTTTTCACAACTGAAATCTGTTGAAGGGTATGGAAATCCATCATCTTCAAAATACATACAAAAGGTATTAGTGGATTATATGTGTTTTGAGGTAAGAGTCGAAACACGAGGTATGCGATGAATTTAAAATAAGGATGTATATAATAAGGATTTTGCCGCCAGACATGCCCAGCAAAATTTTCTAAAATTTTTTCTATATATAGAATTAATGTATATTCCGTTTAGTATATGAATTCAGTGTTATAACACTCCACTTTATATGTGTAATAATGTGTTATATCGAGATTTAGTTATGTCCAATATAAGCATTTTATTTTTGTTTTATAAATCTGGTTCGTTTATTAGCATTATGTTTATTAAATGCGATTTAACAGATTTTCAAATCTATCAGACCCAACCAATGGCCTTCCTGGCTAAGACCGCTGATTACTACTAGTTCCACTCGCACTGAAAGCCAAACGAGCAAATTGGCTGCATGGTTGGGTTTCATAGTTTTCCCATTTGTAACATGGATATGAGTGAGTTTTACTTAGAAAGCCCACCACGGCGACTTGTCTATCCTTAGACAGACAGATCTTGTTTGCTTTGCCATGTTCAAATAATCGGACACAATTTGACAACAAAGACTAATAATAAATGCATATACTGAAATAAAATAAAATAAATCCATATTGCAAAACTACAATAAATGCATGTACCGTAAGAAATGAGATCACAATAAAATTTTAATTATTTTTTAATACACTAATTCCTAAATTGCATTATTTTCAAATTTTAAATCATTTTTATATATGTATTAATGTATATTTTATATGTGTGAAAGTGCACTTGTTTAGCATATCCATATACATTAAATAAATTTGATTTGAAAATACGTGCATTTAGGTGAGATTTTCGTAACTTGAAAAAAATTACTCCCAAAATAATCTCCGAGAAAATATATATATTAAGAAAATAAAATTTTATTTCCCTACTTGGTTCTGTGTAAAACAATTTAAAAAATAGCTTGTTGCTTTTTCTTCTACATTGAAAACTCAATTTTTTAAAAATCTTGTTGTCAGACCAAAAATATTTAGAAGTATAAAATTGTTTTTTTTTTTTTAACACGTTTCTGTGTTATTTCCTTACGGATGTAGATCAACAAGATAAGAGGCCAACCTTTGAAATAGACATTGACTGATTTCACCACTAAAAGACCTTACCTCTAACATAGCGGGCACCACGTGTATCTTTGGATTCTGCTTTGTAATGTAGTATAACTAAACCCCTTGGCCCTGTTTGCCTGAATAGTTTTTGAAAACCGTTCGCATTTGAATGCGTCGAAGTTTGAGTGACTGAAAAACTTCTTGTTCCCAAAGCACTCTGTCTCACACCAATAAAATTTGTTGTCATTATTTCTATTCTCTCTGTGAGTTCTTCAAATACAGGAAAGGGTAATCCGTGCATTTGGGTGCATGTGAGGGGGGGGAAAAAATTCTATGCTGTTTTTTTTGTATTACTTTTATAGTGGAGCATATCAAAAAACATCTTTATATGCAAAAATTTTCTCTGATGAATGAACTCAGCTGAAAACTCGTTTCTATCTTCTGTACATTAAAAAGAAAAGAGTGAATTAAATTCTTATTGTGCTCTTATTACATTTTTCTAAATTTTTCTGTTCCTCTTTTCTTATAACACACAAGCAATTTTTTATGAAATGAGTGAACCCTGAGCGCTAAGTTCGGTAAGGTCGCTAAAGACCGGTAATTTGAAAGAGTTCAAATCTAGGCAAATGGGTTAATTGCAGGGGAGATTTCATGGTTCCGTCATGTGAACGTAATACGAATTCTTTCTCTTTAAACATCCTTTACGAAATGCAACTCTTTTTAGTCATATAATCTTTAAGAGCTGTGAGCAGTTGTAATCTAAATTTTTATGACATAGAATTTCGTATAAATTTATTCTAGATGCTCCTTTTTTGTACATTATATTTATGAATACAAACCTGTGATTAATATTGAGAATACTATGAATTGATAAATGATGTTATGATTAATACTTGAAATAATATTTAAGCTAAAAATCAATTTGAAACCTTTTTTAAAATAAGGTAACATGCGGCAAACAGTTCTGAATAGAAAGAAACAAACGAGGATGCTAACTCCATACCTCGAACAGAAAATTTATTATCGTCAACTCATTTCAGCTAGAATAAAAGATTTTTAAGCTTACAATTTTGGATTATGGTAAAGCACACAGGGGTTACTTGCCTAAAAGAAAATTCAATTTTGAGTGAAAAGCAATTTCTACAGTAAAATTGATATTCCTCGAGTAATTGGTCCCCCGACACACTCGTGTTTATGCATTTTAGTTCATAACTATTTGTAAAAATTAAACATTAGAAATTGTCATTATGTAATAGAATTCAAAGTAGTTGAAATAAACATTAGAAAATTACAAATATAAAGAAAAATAATGCAATCTTTGTAAAAACAAATCAAAGAATAAAAATTAAAAAAAATATATATATATATAATAAGAAAAGTGAATGTACATGAAGATATAAAGGCCAGAAAAAGCATTAATTAACTTACGTTCTTTCTAGTGGGGAGTGGGCGAAGTGTTTTCTTTGCGTCTGACTCAGAAGGGTTGTGTTTCAGAAATTCTTTATCGGCAGTGGGGGCTTTGAATTATATCAGTCGGTAAGACTTGTGTGAAGTAATTTATGGTAGTGGGAGGGACATATGTTGTGGAGCTCTTATTTGAGTGAAACGGTCTGTTAAATTTTTTTGAAAACATTAGTGAATGGAAATTTATTAATTTCTGGCTAATTGTCATGTCGTAACGATTAAGAAAAGGAAAAAAGGAATTTTCACTGTGAAAGAGCTATTTGACAGACTAAAGATTATGAAATAGGCCCATTTGTTTAGTAACAGCATAAGTCTGAAGACTTTTACATTGGTCTGAAGACTTTTACATCTGAGCTTTTTATATTGGTGAGAGGCATGAATATATATTAAAGAGTTTTATGTATACAAGCTACATCTATCAATATATTTTTTCCCCCTAATGGTCGGCCCTATCCGTTTATAGACATTGGCCACTACTAAGGCCGGAAGTGGCGGTCACTTTATTATGGAGGCATTAATAGGTGAGACACTGTTGCTTTCAATGAAGGGACAAACAATTTACGTCCGTGCCTTTTTCGGGATTCGTACCCAGGGCTTTCGGTATGGCAGACAGTCACTAACCACTTTCCCATCTGGACATAATGCTTTCAGTATTACCTTTCCTTTCTAAATGCATGTGATGTAAAATTTGAGTATATTTGGATTAGGTTTTTTTTTTTTTTTTTTTTTTTTTTTGTAAGGTCTTATATAGGCTATTTGTTGTATGTTGATTTTTGTAATTTCATTGAATGATTTTGCACATTCAAATAACTAAACTTGTCCACAGTTAATTTAAAATGTTTCATTTGTTACATTAAATAATTTTTTCCTGTGATTCATAATTTTTCTTAATTTTGTTAAGTAAAAATTTCTGGCATTTTTTTATAGGACATAACTATGGAAGATGACTATCACAAATTTGTTAAATATAAACTGAATAATGAAATTCTGAGCTTGAAAGTGAAGCGTAAAATTATCAACAATAAAGTACAAAAGATTACAATTGACAGTTTAAGTTCACGAATTTATGTAGGAAATGAAAATGCAAAGATTTTTCCTGCCGACTGTAAAAAATGCCAAACTGAGCCTTCCACAAGGCTTACACAGCAGAACCAATCATTGCAAATAAATGCTGGAGATGAAGTTGTACCTCAAGATAATTTGGTAAGGATTTTATGTCTTCATAAAATTTTATTTTATTGCTATTGGTTAGAGGAAGTAGTAGGACAAAAAATGAAGCAATAACCGATTTTTCTCTATCATGGAAGAAATTTGCCATTTTTGCTGAAAGTATATCATTTAATACATTAAATCATGATTTCTGAAATTTTATGGGGACTGCGTAATGCAGTTGAGATCAAGCCTTATCAGGATTAGAGCAGATTTTCTCCTCTTTTGAACATATCAGTTCCAAGTTAGGAAAAAAAGATTATTGCATGCAGTAGCAAAAGAGTGTTATGTTTTTGACAATGTTTTTACGATGCTGTTGATTCCATTTTGTAATTATCTGTTTCTTTCTTTTCTTTTTTTAAAATTTAATTTGTTATCTTCACTTTCTAAATAACAGTGTTATTTTGCTATATCTATGTTTTTGATGTGAACTGAAGTTAGCTCCAGAAATCTAAATTCGCAAATGTGAAAGCGTGTGTGTAAAAATACATACTTATATCTTTAGATTACCAAAAAAAAAAAAAAAAGTTACTTTAAGCAAGTGAAGCTAAGCAGATTATATAGAAAATGAAAATATTTAAACTCGCAATATAACAGGTCTAACATATGAATAAAATATAGCTATGATACATATAGCTATAAATAAATTCAAAAATTAGTTTATTTTATTTTTCCACATTAATGGAGGAAACCTGTTTCCTGTCAGTTTTTCTGTGATTTTGTCCATGCTTTTTACCACTATGGAAGAAATTGCCAACCCTGCTTTAAATATATAATTTTTAATTTGATAATTTGTATATCTTTAAAAATAAGACTTCATTCTATTGTTGTGATTTTTATTATTAAAGCACATGCAGTAAGTAATGAATAAATATTAATGAAATACTTAAACAAATTAGTTTCAATGGATTCTTAATTTAAAATGCTAAAACATAGTAATTATATGAATTTTCATGTTAATTAACCAAGTTATCTTATTATTTTACTTTTACTTGCACTTCTGTTTTCATCACTTCCCAGTAGAATGCAAATAAGGGGTAAGTAATCTTTCAAATACTTTGGGCCTTGTAATGTCACTTTGGTCAAATTGATTTATTATGTCATCATAAAGTTTTTTAATTAATTTAAATTAAAGAGGAGTGGCAACATTAAGCCATCATAAAAACCAAGAATCAATGGCCAATTTTCTGTTTGGGAGATTCAATATGAATAAATATTAATCTTATCAGAATGAGAGCAGTGTCATTAGCACATCCCTACATACTAAATGCTTCATTGTTTTACCCGAACATGATCCAGTTCTACTTATAAAGTGTAAGATGCAAGAAGGACATGTGTATTTCTGTAAAATGATGAGATGGCATTGATATTATATGCATGCTGTAAATAGTTCATCCATTATTAAATGTGTATTATGGATAGTGTTGTGAGTAGTTATTTGCTTGTGGTAAAGTCCCATAATTTTTGAGAGCTCGACATTGGATTGAATAATAGTTGGGGAAAACAGCAGTTTCAAATTTGCAGTGCTTCTGTGTTTTCATAGATTGCATTAAGAACTGATGGTTTGATTATTTTTATTCATCTGAAAAGTACAAAATTCCATCTACGTGAAACTGACATCTGAAATGGGTAAGTCAATTTTAAAACTAAATTATGTTTAAAGTTTAAAAAAATTTGTTTAAAGTCCGATCTTTAACTAGAAAAGTAAAAATTATTCATTGAAAGTGAAACGAAAGTAAATTCGTTTAATGCACTTTGGTATTTACTATTAAATGAATGTGGTATTCAATCAATTCTGTTCAGTTAAACGAATTATTATAAAAATGTAAAATGCAAGAAAAAGAAATTATGTAAATAATTTCTGGTAATTAAAAATCTGTGTTCTAAATATAATATCGATAATGCTGTTTTACCAGAATATGTTATTAATGGTATAAATAATATTGCACAAAATACCATGGATAGGCTGTGTGGAGGCAGATCTCAGGACTCTAAAAATCAATTGTTGGTGGACCATAGCGACTGATTGGATCCGTTGGAGGAAACTTGTCAAGATGTCCATGACCTGTGTATGATTAAATCAGTAACATCTGTAGCAGAATTTCAGGAAAAAACTAACATATATTTATTTATTTAAAAAAAAAAACTGGATAACGGTAACGTTCAATCTGTTAAGCCGAATTCTACTGTGTCTGATAATAATGGAAGTAAAGAAACTGAAGCTAATGCAACAACTCTTGCTGTTGCCAGAGTAAGTGCCAAAGTTCCTTATTTTTGAAACCAGGTAAAAAAGTATGGTTCTTTCTACTAGAAGCAGAATTTTGACATGCAAAAATAACTGTAGAGCAGGCAAATTATAATAATTATGTGAAAAATTACGTCGAACCTGATATTTTGCTTAGTCCACTACAAGATGGCAAATATCAGGCAATTAAGAACAGATTAATTTCATTATATGCAGACTCGGAGACTCAAAAAACCCAAAAAATTACTGAGTGATTAAAAAACCAGCTCAGCTGCTATTATTAATTTAGCAAATATTGATTTGGCAGGTGACAAAATAGCAAATACTTTCCTAAAAGACATTGAGGCTCCAGTGTGTACCTGTTAAATATATGTGGCATTATATCTGCTAATGGCAAAGATGGCTGATAAGATTTCAACTTAAATCCTATTACCACCCCCCACAAAAAAACAGCCAGTACTTCATCCATAACCGTAAACACAAGACTGATTGAAAACTTACAAAAACAGGTTTGTGAGTTTAGCTTACAGGTTTCTACTTTATCCAGACAACTGCCAGTTGTCCCTATAATTGTTAATGATCCAAACCAAGAGATAATTACAGTGGTAACAGGTTCAGTGATATCTGTTACTGTCACTAAAAATTTGGTGACAAGTCATTTAAGTGTAAACAACTATGTAAGTTTTCATCAGGATCACAGACAAACAGCTTAGAAAACCAGGTGCCGTCTCTCATTGATGACAGGGGATGGAGATGAATCATCTTTTCATCAGTGGCAAATAATTGGCTTGCCAGTTTTTAATAGATGCAGGGGCAGAGCTATCTGTTATTTCTTCATTAACTTCAGATAAGAAAATCATCTCAAAATTAGATCTGTTTTCTACAAATGGTATGAAAATCAAAACATATGGCTCAGAAGTACTCAAGCTTGATCCTGGACTCAGAGGATCGTTCAGTTGGTCCTTTGTAATTGCAGTCCTTTGGATTTGCTTACAAACTTGAACCTTTTGATAAATTCCAAAACTCCCAAGGTGATTGATGGTACATTATTAAGAATTAATGGAACTCCTTGTTTTCAAAATAATAATAATATTCCAATTTTGAATGCTGTACATTATCAGTATTAAAATAATATTAACTACTATTTTCCAGATGTACTAAATTTGAACATTGTTAACAATAAAGCTAAAAATCATTACATTGAAATGAGAGGCCCACCCATTTTCACTGAAGCTAGGAGGTTATTGGCCGAAAAACTCAAAGCAGCTAAAAAGAAGTTTGAATTTTTGCTCTAAATGGGTTTATTCAGACCATTCAAGAGAAACTGGTCGAGCATCTGATTTCTTCATAGCAAGATGTAGTATGGCCTACTACACCATATAGACACCATTTCTGTACCATCTACAGTAGACTTGCAAACTTTCAAAACGATGAAGATTTGGAGATACTGAGAAGAAACCCAAACTTAAAAGTCTTGCGAGGGCTAAGATGAAAAATTCTCGGCCTGACAATGAAAGACTTCAACCTTCAGTTAAAAAATGGTTTTACTTTTCTACATAATCCCCTTGACTTCAACACACTTAGTCCAGCATTTCTCCAACATTGGTATTCCTTCCCGGAAGTAGGATTATGGAAGGTTGTGAAAATATTCATCTACAACCCTCTCAACTTCTTCATTGGATGCGGTGTGCTTCCCAGAAACAAATTTCTTCAAGTTTAGGAACAGATGGAAGTTTGAGGGTGCCAAATCAGGAGAATAGGGAGGGGGATGGCCGAGCAAATCGTACCCAAATCCCGCAGTTTTCCCATCGCCAATGCACTCTTGTGCATAGATGCATTGTCCTGGGGAAAGATGAATTTTTCTTCTTCAAGCCAGGCCTTTTTTCGTGAATATTTCTCTCGTGAACCCGGGGAAAAGTTAAAAGTAAAACCATTGGCAATGTAAAACCATTTTTTCTAAGAAAGAAACGAATATTCCTTTCCAAGAATCACCACAGAACACCTGAACTCAATGTTACTGAAGAAAATTCAGACTCAGCATGAACCAAGACTTCAAGAAGTGGCAGACATGTGAAATTCCTGTGTAGCTTAAAAAATTATCTTTCATAAAGTGCTATTACTAGGAAGGGCGTGTGTAATGTTGCTTTGGTCACATTGATTTATTGTGTCATGTTATTAGCATAGCCCTACATACTAGACTCTTCAGGCTGAGCCAAAATTTAGTAGGACAGGTTGGTTTTGTATTTCAAATTCACTATAGTTAGAATGTGCTTTCTGATTTCTTCAAGTAACTGTGCTCTGTGTCTATTGAACTTTTGAGTTTGTGTAAATATGAGGTTGGCATGTTAATAAATAGCTTTCATTGTTAACTTTGGTACTTACCTATTATCCCGTCGATTGTGAAAATTGGCTGCTATCCAACCATGAAATTTGGTGGAGGTCCTTAGTTGCAGCAGTTGTTTCTGCTGAATTTTGAAAGAACTGGCACCTTTAATAAATAATTGATAGTTGACTGGCTTCACGAAAAGGCTTTCATCAATTTCTACTATTTTGTTAAGCCCTTCACTTTTGCCAGAAACTGTTTAGAACACTAAGAATATAAAATTCCCGCAGATAATTTTTCTGTCAATGACTGTTTTATCAACCTTATTCAGCTGATTGTAACATATCCATTTGTATAGACTTTTTTTGACAGTAAAATTGCATAACTTAAAAAATAATTCATTGCTTGCTGTTCTGTAGAAGAAAC